AGTGTCCTATCAGTGTGTGAGAGAGTTGAGGGCTGTTTGGAAACTGAAACAGTACTTGCTGCGTCAGCAAGGAGACAGCAAGGAGCCTGGGCGAGGCTTAGCTCAACTGTTCTGTACTAAAGCTGCTTAGTGCTCTGAAACGGAAACTCCTCTCCTCTACTTGTATTTTGCATTTGGAAGAGATTTCTTTTTTTCAGGTAGGGAGGGGGAGTAGAACTCCTTAGCATCAGAGCGTGTTAATAATAATAATATAATAATAATAATAATAGTAATAATATAGGAAATACTCTAAATGCTCTGATGGTCATTTCGAAAAATCCTTTCTTAGTGAACATCTAGAAGCCAAGAGGAACATAGATGCCAAATTTCAAGTTTGTAGGCTTTACGGTTCTGGAGATTTTGTGATGATGCATGAGGGGCATTTCGCTTTTATAGACAGAGATTCCATTCCATTCTATAATCTATTCTATTCGGAGAATCTAAATCAGGGGGCCTGGTTTACGACCATAACCGTGAGCCCAAAGGTTCCGTTGCTAAGTGAGACAGTTGAGTTTTGCCTCATTTTACAACCTTGTTTGCCAACAGCTGTTAAGTTAATCGTTGTAGTTGTTAAGCGAGTCACACGGTTGTTAAGTGAACTTGGCTTCCCCATTGACCTTGCTGGTCAGAAGGTTGCAAAAAAGGGAACCAATACACTGCAACCGTCATAAATATGAGTCACTTGCCGCCAAGCATCTGAAAAACGGCCACAAGCCACTTTTTTTCATTGCTGTTGAAAACTACGAACAGTCACTAAAGGAACTGTTGTAAATAGAGGACTAGCTGTTCTAAAACAAAGAAAAACCCGTTGTCCATTCTCATTTTCCCATCCTCAGAAACACATCCTGGGTATGAAAATGACCAGCCTTCCTAGATTTATGGATTTTTATTGTTCCATCTCCGCCCTGAATACATATAAGACAGAAAAAACAAAAATCGAAATTAAAAATCTCGGGTCGAGGCGGGTGGTATTTTTCTGCTGTAATTATTCTTAATTTTTATTTTATTTTATTTTTTGTTTTGGGGAAGGGAAAGAAGGAGGAAGGAGAGTGAGCGCCCATAAATTATTGAAGAGGCCTGCGAGGCTATCTAGGAAAAGTGACATTAAATTGATTTTTTGGATCGCTCTTGCTCGACGGCATGAATAATTTAGGCCCCGGTCGGTCGGAAAAGCCTGCCTGGCAAGGGGCTTTTAAAAGCCCCTGCCTCGGCCTCCTCCTTTTCACCTTCAAAAGGGGAGCCCAGACTAACGGAAGAAGGAAGATGGAGCGGTAATTTGAGCTCCAGAAATAAAACGGTTATCCAATTTCTGCAAGAGATTTCACTCTCAGGAGCTTCCAAAAAAACCCCAGCAAAAATGGTCGAGTTATTTCCCAAGGGGAGAACATTTTAACAGGGTGGGACCTTGGGGGGGGGGGAGGTGTCTTCTAGTCTGTTCTGACCCAAACCTGGTTCCAAAGTAAACAAAACACCAAACAAGAGAGAAAAGCAAAAACCCTTTTAATGCCTCTCCGTGAGTTCCGTTCGTTCACGGTTAAAAGGCTACGAAAGCTAATGGTCTCCGATAAGAACTGAGCCTTGCCAAGCTTTGTGCAAGGCTGCCAAGAACGCTAGATAACGTTGCCAAGAACTATAAGGGGCGTGCAAAAGTGCACCGTCGTGCCTACTAAATAAATCAAATCAAATCAATAAATAAAAGAAGGAAGGAAAGAAGGAAGGATGGAGG